CTCTCTCTCTCTCTCTCTCTCTCTCTCTCTCTCTCTCTCTCTCTCTCTCTCTCTCTCTCTCTCTCTCTCTCTCTCTCTCTCTCTCTCTCTTCTAAGTCTAAGACTACTTCTTGGATTATGCTACTGAACTACTACGACTATGAAGGATGGTTACGAGTTCTGATGATACTAGAGGTAGCGACATTGAGACTGCAGGTTGAGGGCTATTTTTGGGATCTGACCCTCATCTACCTCTGAGGATGTATCTTGACATTGTGAGGACGATATCTGGGACACTGTGAGACTCTGTGTTCGCGACATTTCGGATTTTCGCTATTTCTGACATTTCGAGATACTATCTTTGGAAACATTGAGTTGACGTCATCTTCCCTCTCCTCCTCCCTTCGTCTCTCCTCCGCTCCATTCATCCGTGTATGAGATTTACCCCTGGCCTTCTCTTCTAAGTCCAAGGCCAGGGCTTCACACCACCGATGTATGTTTGTGAGTGTTTCGTTGCAGTCTGAGTCAGGTCCGAGTCAATCCATGTATCTCAAGTCTTCCGCTGTATTTGTATTAACTCTGTATTATCTGGTCAGTTCTGGGAATCTGGGCCATACTTGTGACTGTGTTTCACGAGTATGCTACAAGCTGCCCGGTGGGAACTGTGGGATGGTGGGACAATGATTCAGGCTATTTTCAATATAAAATTATAAATGAATTTCTGTGTGCATTACCGAATCATACTTTATTCTGGATTATTGATCGACTCTCGTGTGACACCTGTCGGGACAGGGACACGGTGCATCTTGGGTGCGGAATTCATCACCTATGTCATCAACATTATCAATCTATTGCAGCCGCCGCCGTCTGTGCCGAAGGGTGTCCAACATTTCCTCATTGTACACATCCCTATCACCCAGATATTCGCTGTCCCTTTTGTGCTCAAGGACGCTATCAGGACTGCATGATGCCGCACTGTGACGAAAGTCCTGCTGTTTTTTTGACATGTGGACAGCATGTCCTTTGTCAGGACTGTTTTGATGGGATGTCCGTGCTAGCTGTCCTGCTGAATGCTGTGCTGAAGTAGCTCTCCTTGGGTATCCTTGTGAACATCCACGTCATCATCCTCAGTGTGCCTGTCCTATCTGCCAGGGTGGGGGCTTCTCTTCCTGACTGGTCAATAGCATTAAGTGATCAGGAACAACACTAATTGTAGGACAGATAAAAGAAAGAAAGAGAAAAAGTACAAATTTCTGGAGAAAAGAAAAAAGAAAACAAGAAAAAAACATGTTGAACTTTGTAGTGACAGTGGCAATTGGTTTATCTGTGGGATGTGTCATTTGCTTTCTTCCTTTGTTTTTTTCTTTGACCTTTCTCTTTCTCTTGCCTCTGTGAGTTTTTTTTTTCCTCCTTTTCTTTACCTCTTTGCCTTTTGGCTGCGTGCAAGTGGGTCCTTGTGACACACGGGGATGGGGCCAGCCAGGGCTCAACCTGTCATCCACGTGGCTGGCCTTGTACGTAAGAGGTGATGAACAGGTGGGGCTTTCCTTCCTTCCTTCTTTTTCTTGTTTTGCTTTTTTTCGCCTTCGCGCTCTGATTCACAGTGTGACAATATATATACAGCCCTCGTTTGTTACGGTTTACCGGGCAGCTCTGTTTGACGATATATATGTTTGACGATATATATATATATATCAGCCTCCTGATGAGTCGGTGAAACTCCGACGAAACAGTTTGTCACAACCCCTCGTTTGTTGTCCT